TGGGCCCAAATCCTGAGGGATCCAACATCTATGGAAAGATCGTAGAAAAAAAGAAACCATAAAGGTCTAAGAGGTGGGGGGGGGCATTAGAGGGGTACGGCAGCCCAGAAGCCAAAGGAAGTTGGTTCCTTCCAAGAGGAGAGAGCAGTCAAAGAGAATCTGAAAGACAGTTGACCCAACGGGTCTGTCAGGTCTCACATAGAGAAGTTGAGCAGGAAAAATTCAGTAAAGTGGAGGCAACAAAAACCAGGCAGTAGAGTGAGCAGTGGTGGGGAAAGTGGGGAAGTGGAAATAGAGATATTTGGCTATGTGGGAAGAGAGAATGGGTCATCAGTTAGAAAATCGTGTTTTTGAATGCAATAGAAGAAATCCAGGTGAGTCTCAATTTCGATGAGAAGGAGCCAATCAGGAGGTAAGAGGCAGTTGCCGAAGGAGGCGGGGGGAGAGAAGAACCAGAGGCTGGTGACGGCTCGGCCTCAGGGAAGGTGGGTCAGGAAGAGGGACGAAAGGAGGCTCTCGTACAGCTACGGAGGCAGGAAACAAAGATGGAACCCATGGCCAGCAGCGGAGGTGGGGCGGGAAGTCTGAGGACAGACAGAAGGTCTGAAGCAGCCATCGCTGCGAGGGGAAATGCAAACATGCTGAGGCAGCAGGGCGGGATTTCCAGAGAGCTCCTAGTGCCCACTTTGGGCTCGTGGCCACGAATCTAAAGTAAAACTCGTGTGTCAGATCGATCTGTTCCTGTACAGCCGAGCCGCCCAGATGCTGGTGTGCACGCTGTGGGGGGATGTACACGGCAGGCATCCCGCAGAAGGTGTTAGCGATGGCTGAAAGGCGACTCAGGTCACCATCACAGCCATGCTTCTCTCTGAATTCCCCGAATTCTCAGCAGCTAATTCGACGTGGGGTAGGAAGGCGAGCCAAAGTTGTCTCCAATCACAGACTTTTTTTTTTTTTTTTCTTTTCTGGCAAGTTCAGACCTTTTGCCGTCAACAATTACGCTGTGGCCGGAGACAATAACAAACTCTGCGAATTTCCCCGAAAGGGACAAAGGCTGTTCAGACCCGCGGACATATGTGCACCACACAGGGTGTTAGCGGTTATCGCTCAAGTACCCGCTCAGGGACTTGGGACCACAGCGGGGGACAGGAGAGGTTCATTCTGCTTTGGGGGTTTGGAGAAGGCAACTTTTGAGATGAATGTTGAAAAAAAAAGTAGGTTTTCTCCCCACCCTTAGATAACAGCTCAGTATGTGCCCTGACCAAATTTCCCATGTCGGTACTGATTCCTGGGTCTGAAAGTGCACCCCAGGAGACACAGTCCTGTGGGGACTGTGGTTTGCTACGGGGATTCTCATCCAGCACCAGCACTAAACTGCAGTTTGGGGCTCCAGGAGAACGGCCTTCAGCCCTGCCTTAGGCCTCCCCCCTCAGCCCCCCCAGCCCACGGGCCCCAGGCCCTTTGCACGTGTGCTTACCAGTGGCCATAGTCCAGATGCTGCCTGATGATGGTGTGGGGCTGCACAGTCCCGTAGGCATCCACCTCAGGCAAGTTCATGTCATCAATGAAATAGATCAGCTTCTTGTTGCCTGGGGGGCCATAGTTTCTTCCGGCCTTCTTTTCTAGAGGCTTCTCCAGGACAGCTGAGGGGAGAGCCAGTGGGTGAGGGAAGGAGGTTCGAATCTCAGAGGCCAGTGCGGAGACAGAACCAGTGCCAAGGACAAGCCGTGGCGCAGCGTGCACCTGCCTAAGTCCTGGCGTTCTAGGGGACCGCAGGTGAAGCGGGAGCCCGCCTGGCAGTCAGGGTGACTGCGTAGACCAGGCACCGAACACCTCACTAGGCGTGGACCCTCTCGGGTTTCTACAAAAGCGCACCATCTCATTTAATTCCTGCAACGTCGGTGCCAGATTCGTCTTAGCATCCCATTTCACGGAGGAGGAAACCGAGGCTCGGAAGAACAAAGAAACTCTTCTAAGGGGAGGTCAGCGTACAAGTCTGGGACGGTTAACGTTCAGAGCCCAGGCTCCTCCGATCGTACCTGGGGTCCCCAGGTTTCTGTGCTTAGAGAGTCGAAACAGAAGATACCTTCCCGGTCTCAAGGCGCGGCACTCTACCCTCGAGGAAATCTCCAGAAAATCGGATTGTGGAGAGACCTGCCCGCTCTGGCTGAGACAGCACAGGAGCGTGGAGGCCGGGGCTCCCTTATCAGCATGGGTGGAGGCCCCTTCCACACCTGGGGTACAAAACGGGAGCTACCGGGGGCGCCGGAGCGGCTCGGTCGGTTAAGCAGCTGGCTTCGGCTCACAGGTCGTGGGTTCGAGCCCCGCGCCGGGCTCCGTGCTGACCTACTTGGGATCCTCTCTCTCCCTCTCTCTGCCCCTCCCCTGCTCTCTCTCAAAAATAAATAAGTAAAAACATTAAAAACAAAAAACAGGAGCTGTTGGATACTTTGTGAGCATATTCTCAGAGTATTCATCTCCCAGGTGGGGGTGGGGGTGGGGGTGGGGTCTTCCCCGAGTGGGAACAGGAGCAGAGAATTGCCCGGAAGCTTCCAGCAATGCCAAGGGCTCCTCCACTGCTTTCGGGTCACCAGGACCCTATCAGAGCATCTCCGTGCTTTTCCGGAGACTTCAGTACAGAATGACTCTCTTCTAAGTGCCGTTTCTTCAAACGGCACCGTAGTCCAGCGTGACGGGACTTGCTTAGAACAAACTTAAGTAATAGAGTGGAGATAAGTGCATTTTTTTCCCCCAGTAAAGCAATTAAATATGTATCGCAAGAACCGACATGTCTTATTATAGCTGGAAGCTCGAAGAAGCGTGAGTCTTCCCTTGAAAAACAAGTTTGTAAACAAGGAGAAAGTGTCAACAGACATTTGGAGGTGACAGAGAGGAAGACAAGTCCCTTCGAGAAGCCTGAAGATTCTTAATTGTCTGGTCCTGAGTTAAATTAAGGGTTTCAAATACGAATTAGATTTCAATGTAATTAGCATCCAATTAACATACACCATCAACCAATTAATCACCCAACACCTTTCTCCCCCTAAAGATATAACAACCATATACGAGATGTGTCAAAAGGAAATATAATTAATGGGCTGCCAAGGACATGTTTTTGAGAACAGGCCTTCTAGTAACTTCTCTTCTTAGGAAGACTTGTTTTCTCCTCCCCGCAAAGGAGGGATATTCAAATCAACCCCTGGAATGGAGCAGACCCCTCTAATTTGGGCCCGTCCAGCTCTACGTGCTTCTGAAGGATTATTGAGGAGAAAACCACACCAGTTTGCAGGAAGCGGGCTGGGAACGCCTTGGACCATCCCAGCAGGACGCCGCTGAGTCCCCCAGGGAGGGAGGACTCCCTCAGGAAAGGCAGCCGTGTTTTTGCTCCCTACGCGGCCAGACGCTGTTGCAACTCCCCTCCTGGACGCAGGGCGGGAAGTGACAGTTTCCAGGCAGAACCAGAGAAGCAGGTGGACTTAAGTTGATGGCGAAGGCATCCCATGCGCGAGACGCACAAGGACATGTGATTGTCCCCTCACATTTCAGGGTCCTGCATCATTGCAGACAAGTCCTGACGGTCAAGCCCATACCTGGGCCCCCCCCGAGTTCATCAGCTCACCGAACGTCTCCCCTCGGACGGGCTGGTGTCCCGCCCGTGGCCGCGTGCGGCACCTGCTGCTCTGCGCTCTTCACACAGTTGCTTCTGCGAGATCGCAACAGCATCGTGCGGTCTAAGAGCAAGTGCATTTTCCAAGCAGGTCCCCATCCGCTATCTCGTTTCGCCGTCTCCGCCGCGACCGCCCTTTGCCCAGCGGCTCTCACCTGCTCCCCATGACATCGTCCCAAGGGCCTCCCTGCTTTCGCCCTTGATCTCTTCGCCACCCGGTGTTCTCAAAACAGCAGACGGCAGTTTGGAAATCAGATCCCGCCCATCTCCTGCTTAAAACGCACCTGGGGCAAAAGCCAGTGTGGTTCTGTCCACAAACCTCGCATCTCAGTTCTTCTCTCTCGAGGCTGCCCTGTTCACTCTCTCTGCTGCAGCCATCCTGTTCCGACACGTTCGCTGCCACAGGGCCTTTGCACTGGCTGTTGTCCTCCCTGCCGGTAATCCTTTCTCCCAAATTCCAACAGAGCTTGCTCCCTCGCTTCCACCACACATTAACCTGCTCCAATGCCATCTCTCGGTGAGCCCTTGCCTGCCCTCTAGCCAAAATTCACCCCTCACCCCAGTTCTCTGTGCCGGCTTCGTTATTCTCTGTGACACGCATCACCACTTAAAATGCCATACATTCAACTTAGGCATCGTGTGTGTGTCACCTTAACCCCCTCCGCACTATGAACTCCATGAGGACAGGAAATCTTTCTCTGGTTTTTTATCTCGCACACAGTAGGGCGTCCAAAAGACATTCATAAAATTAAGGAAGGAGCGAATGATAAGCCCCAGGAAGAGCAAAGAAAGATACGTTATATCAATGTTGTAATTAAGAACACAGAGGCTGAGGCTGTTTGCATACCTTGCCGAGTGAGGAGCCAGGTCTGTAGATACTGAGGCTGATGCACCTTGCGTATCACCCCGAGAGAGAGCCCTCACAGGCAAGCCCTGACACCCCAGCCCCCGTGTATGTCTGCCCCCGACCACCCCTGTCCCACAGATTCTTACGGTCTCTGAGCTCGGAGTAGGATGTCTGTTCTTCCGCAAAGCATTGCTAAAGGCTCTATATGGAGCCCATTACACGCCTGTCATCACTGACCCCTCGGAGCAGCCCTATCATGTGTTAAAAATCTTTTAACAAATGAGCGGGTTCGAGGGTTTGAGCCCCACCTCAGGCTCCATGCTGACAGTGCAGAACCTACTTGGGATTCTCTCTCTCTCTCTCTCTCTCTCTCTCTCTCTCTCTCTCTCTCCCTCCCTCTCTGCCTCTCCCCCACTTGCTCTAGAGAAGCAAGAGGCTTAGAGGGAATAAAGGACTCTGTCCCAGGTCCCACAGCCACCGAGTGGCCCAGCCAGGATGCTAACCTGGGTTAGCAAATCACTTAAACGTCACAAGGTGACTTCTGCGCTGGAGAAATCCCCGGTTTCGTGAACCCACCGCCTGGCCACGCTTTTTGACAGAGATCGCGAGTAATTAATCACGTCTCATTTTGTACTGCTTCTCCTTTGCTTCGAGCTCTTTTCTTTCTACACCGTCTAGTTTTTCATGTGTTGAGACATTTCCATTATACTGTACGGACTTTGCATTTATTCCTTCCAAATATAATCATGCTCTGCGTGATTGTAAAAGTGATACATATTCATTCCATAAAGATTAAAAAACAGAGAAAATCATAATGATGAAAACGAAAATTACCTGTAATTCGATCACCTCGCGGGAGCCACTGTTTTCAATATCTTGGTGAATTTCATTCCAGTCTGTTTGGTCTGTTTGGTTTTTCCTTCACAAAATCAGTTTTGCATATTCTGCTTGTGTGTGTGTATATATGTACAAACAGATACATTTTGTCCATCCACATAATTATATGATAATATAGTCTCCTAAAACATGATATTAATTGCTGCACCGTGTCCCATAATTTGGAGGTACCAAAATTTATGGAGTGGTTTCTCTGTCGTCTCAAATCTATGCTGTATTCCATTTTTTTCCTATACTCTGAAGCCACCTCCGCTTATCCTGAGCCGTGTGTCTGGCCCACGAGGTGACAGATCTTTTCATGATTTAATTTCCTGTCATCTCCTTTTTGAAAGACAGGCGGACGAGCTATCTGTAACGATGTAAGCACGAGGCTCCCCGGGTTGAGGGTTCGATCGGATCTTTTCGGGTCCTGTCTAACCTCAACCTGTTAATGAATGGGTTACAGAGATTCACATCGCACAGAGATTCAGACGCCTGAGCTCCTATCTAATGAGTGTAATTAAGGGCTCAAATATTTGTTAAACGAATCATTTAAATTGCAGGTGGATGGTAAGAGAATTCAGAATCGTGAAGCACATCATCTTCAGCCTCCTCTCTTTACGCTGCAGATATAAGTCCCTCGATGCCTGGTCCGTTTCTTTGCTTCTCCTTTTTCGCTTTCTAGACTGTCTTGTCTATGGGTCATTGCAAATTCTTTTAGTCTTAAAAATTACTTATATTTTCTTTTAATTTTTTAATATTTTTGAGAGAGAGAGAGAGCGAGTGCACGAGGGGCAGAGAGAGAGGGAGACACAGAATCTGAAGCAGGCTCCAGGCTCCAGGCTCCGAGCTATCAGCCCAGAGCCTGGCGTGGGGCTTGAACCCATGAACTGTGAGATCAGAAGTCAGACGCTTAACCAACTGAGCCACCCAGGCACCCCAAATTACTCATATTTTCTAAAAAAAAAAAAAAAAAGAGAGAGGCTTCAAGTATTTGCAGACATAAAACAGACCAATTAAAGGAGACTAACCAAGGATTCCAAAGCCATATAGGAAAAGAAACGTGACTGGACCCGTGATCCAGATGACAGGGTTACTGTAACCCAATAAAAATGTATCTCACGCCTACCTGAAACCTCAGAACTAAACCTGTGTTTAGTTACAGCAACCGCGACATCCTGGATTACTGGTACACATCCACTTCTAATTTTCTACGAAAAAAAATTTTCCAGGCGCTAAATTCTAGCGGGCAT